AGTGGTGCCTGGTGCCAGTGGGCACAAACTGGAACACAGGGAATTCCCTCTGAACATCAGGAAACAGTTCTTTATTGTGAGGGTGACTAAGCACTGGCACAGATTGCCCAGAGATATTGTGCAAATCTCCTTCCTTGGTGATCTTCAGAAACAGTCTGGACAACTTGCTGTAGGTGTCACTTCTTGAGCAGGGTAGGTTGGACCAGAGGACTTCTAGAGGTCTCTTCCAACCTTAACCATTCTGTTATTCTTTAAAGAAATATATTTGTTTGCTTTTAAGAATGGAAAGCTTGATATTATAGGCATTATGGGAAATTTTCCTTTCTTTAGGGGAAGACAAACACTTTAAAAACACACAAACACTTTAAATATTATTTCAGTGGAAATTGAAATTATTTCAATTTCAATTGAAAATGTTCAGCATAAACATCAGGTTTTTGGCTTCATGTCTAAAAGTTATCTAGGACTGAGTTTTTTTCAAAATAGACAATATTTCTGAGCTGAAGATTCTTCACAGACCTAATGAATTCCATTTATTTACTTTAATTTTGATAACTTCAGCGTCCTTGTGGAGGGTGATTGTCTGTCATGATGACTTTTCACAAAAAATATTCACAAAATTCAAGAAACTCCTGGTAGTTTCATGAAAAAATAAAATAAAATAAACCTTGCAAACCATAAAATCATATCTTATTTTAGTGACTTTTTTTTCTGTCATCTTAAGTCTGTATAACTTCCTGAGTGTGTGATATATCAGCCTGTTCTCTGATTACTTTCCTTCATTTGTCATACAATAGGGCCCAAAGGACCTGAGATCAGAACCACTTTGTCATAAGAGCTGTGTGTCCCCATAAAAGACACAAACCTCCACTAAAAGAGCTTTCACTGTAAGTGATAAAGGCAGCCCTAGGAAATATTTTTATCCCCCATTTTACTGACAAAGAATGGAGCAGAGGGAGATTAAGTGATTTGGCCAGAGCTCCCCAGGAAATCTGAGTCCAGAAGTCCTCAACTTTAATCCACAAGGCCATCTTTCCTCTGCTAGGAAACAGATGTTAAATTGGATGTTAATTTTGCCATGAAACTTTTTTAAAGAACTCTGAAAGGCGAATAGTCTCCAAGAATCATTACTTAGCAAGCTACCAGCTCTGCAGTCTTGCTTCTCAGAAGTAATTCATTCCATCTTTGTTGGCAGGCTTTAAAAGGCCTTTTGTTTTTGCTCGCTGATTAGTAGAACAATCTATTTTGAAAGATATGTGGGCTGATACGGGGATATCATTTATTTGTTTCAGTGGTAGCTTTTTGCAACAAAATGTATAGAGCTTTTAAGTGTTGTGGATTGAAGCCTCTGATGTCAAAGATAAACATTAGGATTATAAATACAGATCCTCTAAAGTATTGTAAGTACTGTAATCAGTAACAGAATTTCACATCTTTCACTTGCCTGCCTTAAAGTGCTGAAGGCTTTTCCTTTTAAAAACCACAGGCACATACATTATCAGCCAATACTAACAATTGAGCCAAACATGTAACATGAGTTAATTATATAATGTGCACTGCATTATACAAAATTCCCATTTAACACCAGACTTCAGCAGTGTACGGGTTAATGTACAATACCAGTTGGCCTTCCTTTCCTCTTCTTTTCTGCAATTCAAATTAGTCTTCTGGAAAATTGGCCTCAGTACCAGTGACGTGCTGCTGAACTTACGAGATCTCAAGAATATCCTACCAGATTTCATTCTTTTGTTGTAGAATTGTTTCCATCTGGGGCCTAGATATAAACTTGGAAAATGTAAAGGCTCTTCCCTCTCACCCTGCCTGACTTCAAAACATTGGCAAATAATCTTTCTTGTCAATGCAGTACAGATTGGATTAAAACATTGGAGTAAATTATGTTTCAGTGGGTGTAGGAATTAGTGGCATTTATTGAAAGTTTAATGTACTGCCTAACAATCCAAGAAGTAAATATATACTTTAAAATCAAGTGAAAATTAACATTGAACATAACAGAGTACTAGAGAATACTAAGCTCTGGAAAGAAATATTAGTCACACGGGGCCAGATCTACTAAAGAGCACCGTTACACACATTTGCAAGTGCTTCATTTGTGTGCAGAAACTCAGTGTGTGAGCATAACTCCCTGGCTTGCATCCACACAACTGTTTTAGTCAACTGGAGTAGCTAGGCTGGGAACATAATCACTATTAGTTCCTCTGCACTCAGCGAAGGGAATGATGATTATATATCTGTATCTGTATTGCGTGAAAAATTAAATTCTTATTTATTTATTTGCAGCCTATTGCTTTATGTCACTATGTCAAGTGAAAATGGTTCTGATAAGCATATTATCTATAATAGTATTGGCCTACACTGGCAAACTATGCAAAAAAAAGAATAGGACTCAGTTAGTTTGCTGGAAGTAGAGCAGAAGAGGAGAGCAAATAACTCTTGTGTTTCCAATGTGGCTGCTTGGCTTTTATTTTCTGATGTATACAATAAGCTGTGACAGCTCCTCATTTAATACAACTGTCAAGTGTCTCCAGGCTTTGTGCTAGACTTCTGTACATAAACTTGTGTGTGTGTGTCTTCCCTATTGTTAGCACAACAAGAAACATGATTTTTACAGTAAAAGCACACTTAATACTAACAGAAAGGTTTTATAATGATAATTGGAATTTAAAACATGATGTTCTGGGCATTCTGACCTAATAGCCTTTCTTATTTTTTTTCCAAATCCCAACAACAGTAACCCTGGAAATTATAATATGTGTTTGGGGAAAAAAAAAAAAAAAAAGTTTGTTTTTGTTTCTAATACAATCTACCTGTGTAGTCTCCCCACTATTTGCAGCATTTGTAAATGAAAAGATATTCTCTGCCTTCCTGACTGGGACATATTTGCTATACTCCTTTTGTCCTTTTGTCAATATCATTGACAGGTTTACGACCAAATGTTGGTTAAAAAATGTCTGCTAGAAAAGAACACAAGGACTCCTGTGTTTGAGTACACTGAGACATGGTTTCATCAGTATCCATAGCATATAAGCAAGTATCAGGTGGATGAAGAAGAGCTGTGCAGACACAGCAGTGATGTCCACATTATCCAGTAGGGCAGACCAGCAGATGTGGATCTGCCTGTTGGTCCTGAGGATGCAACACCCACACTATACATACTCTGTCTGTGGGAAATTGTCTTCCAGCTACTCTGGTCCCACAAACAAAACACCGCTAATGGTTGCAGTGCACTAGGCACATACCCTAGTTCACGATTTTCAATGATATGTTTATCCATTCATTGCCACTGGTATAAGCATACTGCTGCTGGCTTCAACAGTTCTGTAAGGTACCGCTAATATTTTCCAAGGTTTTGTTCATCTAGGGATTTTACAGAAGCTCTTTGTAGCCTATGGAGTTACTCATTATACATTTTCTTCCAGATATACTATCTCTTCATCTTTTATCTTTACAAATTTTATTTACTTTGCCTTGGTATATGCCTTGAATGTGAAATAATATCCAAGTAAGAGGTATGCAGATTTTGTTTATTCAAAGAATATCTTCCAGAAATATTCGCCATGCTTTAGAAAAATAGGTGGTATCAGCTTTCTTCCTAAATATTGTTTTTCTGATTTATTTACTGATGCAGTAAATCTCATATTCCCTCAGTATGGATAACCTTATAGCTCTGAGTTTTATTCATGTACTTCCTTCCTTCTGTGTTAATTTTGTTGATTTTGGCATTGGTGCAGCTAGTTCTACTCAGTAAATATTTCACTTGCTTTTATGATGATAAAATAGACTCTCATTCATCTTCTGCTAGAGTGTTCTCCATTGGTTTATGGAGAATGCCTCTGGCTTGTGATACTGTTGTTATCCTCTTCATCAATACTGTGTAATCACAGCTGGGCCTGGTATTAACCACAAGGTAATATAGTTCATTGCATATGTCACTGGATTGACTTACAGTGTTTGGCAAGACATGGACTGCTCAATGTGAGTTGCTGTGGGCTTTGACTTCTGAGTGCTGTATGAATTATAGAGTCACAGCATAATTTAGGTTGGAAGGCACCTCTAGAGGACACCTGATCCAACCTGCACTCAAAGCAGGGACTCAGTGCAAGTTATTTTTCTGGAGTAGGTGGCTTCTTTTGCTCAACAGTTTGCTTTTTTGTTTGTGGTTTGTTTGTTTGTTTGTTTGTTTTTCAGTTTGTTTTATTTTGTTTTTGTTTAATTATTTGTTTTCCTCTAAAATTCACTTCTGAAGGTCTAAGATGCTAGTTATAACCCCATTCCTAGGATATGGGTGATTAAAACTTTAAGATTAAAACTAAAACCCCTAAAACTTTAAGATTAATTCTTCATTTGTAGATCTATTAGAATATTTTCTGTGTCTTCCGCTTTTTTTTAAGAAAAATACTATATTTTTTTATGTGGTTTTAGAACCGAGTTCTGAAATAAAGCTTCACAGTTAAGTATGCATGCATATTTTTCAAAGAAAACTGAAAGCTATTAAAACATTGATTACTGCCAGAAATTATCTGACAACAGTCTTCCTTTATTTTTTTTTTAATGTTTTGTTTAATGGTACAGGTTGAGGAGATATTTAAACTTCCTCTAGTTGCTTAGTGCATTTTCATTCTAATACTGATGAGAATTTTAAACATTCCATTCTTGCACTGAGGGCATGTCCTCATGCATGTCAGCTTGCCCTGGTGCTGTTTTTCAGAGTTCAGTCCTAGCGAACAATTCTGACAGAGATCAGCTTCATTCAGTGTCTAAATATAATGAACCCACGGTACTTAATATGAAACTTTCCAATAATCTCTTATTAATCCTTTGTGAGTACATCAGAGCTTTTTGAAGGCATAACTACTTTGAAGCCCTGTTCTTGCCTGCTAAATGCTTGAACATTTACTCAACACTGCAGAATGGAAACTGAAGAGACACATCCATGTAACTTAAATAACCATAGGAAACTGCAAAACTAAGGTGACGGTTTACCTTATCTCCACATTGCCTTGCTAGGGAGGGTCCTAGAAAAATGGAACTGGCAGTTGGCTGCTCAAACTTCTGCTCAAACTTCTCTCTCTGTAGATGAAAATTTTGAAGTTTCATTAGAACTTAGAAAATTGATTTCTAACATGTATATTACATTGTATTTTGTCAAAATTAGAATGGGAAAAAATATATGTTTAACCTACAACTTAGACATAGATGTATTTATTAATTCTTAAGAGGTAAAATCTCTGTAAACATTGTTACTTTAAAAGCCCAACCTAACTGCATCTCCAAAATAGCCAACAATTTATACATCAACTTATAGTAACAATTATACGTTTTCCTGCATGCACTTTAAAAGAAATCTCTCTCCAAAAGAGCACTCATTAAATGAATGTACACTTTCCCATTCCTTGAATATCAAAATCTTTGGGTCTCTTGCAAAAGAAGAAAGAGTGAGTTCTATTCGTTATTGGCAAAATGTTTATCTGAACCGCAGCAGTGGAACAGAGTGAAGAAGTTGGTTTCTGTAAAGAATACAACAAGTAGATGCCATAATATTCCTGCTTAACTTTTTTTTTTTCCTGTTAAAATGAGATTTTAAATGCATGTTATTATAGCTGCTTGGAATGCTGAAAGTTTATAATCTCAGTTGTGCCACGGATTTAATATATTTTAAAAATAGATTCAGAAGGAATTATTTTATTCCCTTATGTAACACTAAAAAGCTTTATTACATTACCTACATATGCACCTACAGATTTGCTTTTTCTTATACATTCAAATATTTTCTGAAATGTATTTTTTTCAACGTGAAATGGAAAGTAACAGAAATTATACATGGTCCACAAGTCCCTTTTTAAATCTGTATAACTTTTTTCATGGTCTTTCTAAGATTAAGCTGTTAATGACACAGAGTACTGGAGTACAAGATATACATATGTGAAAACAGTTTCTAATAGGAGTAATTTTCAAAAATGTTGTAGAATGGGATGCAGGACTTTCAGTGCTTTAGCAGCTACATTATTTCACAGAATCAGAGAACTGTAGAGGTTGGAAGGGACCTCAAGAGATCATTGGGACCAACCCCCCTGCCAAAGCAGGTTCCCTAGAGTAGGTTGCCCATGTAGGCATCCAGACAGGCCTTGAATATCTCCAGAGAAGGAGACTCCACAACCTCTCTGGGCATCCTGTTCCAGTGCTCCATTAGCCTCACTGTGAAGAAGTTCTTTCGCATGTTGGTGCAGAACTTCCTGTGATCCATTTTGTGGCCATTGCCCCTTGTCCACATTTTTGTGGCCATCGCCCCTTGTCCCACAAACCACTGAAAAGAGGTTGGCCAAATTCCTCTGTCTCCCACACTTAAGGTATTCGTAAACATTAATAAGATCCCCTCTCAGTCTTCTTTTCTCCAGGCTGAACAGACCCAGGTCTCTCAGCCTTTCCTCATAGGGAAGATGCTCCAGGCCCTGTATCATCTTTGTGGCCCTCTGCTGGACTCTTTCCAGGAGAACCCTGTCTTTTTTGTACCAGGGAGCCCAGGACTGGACACAGTACTCCAGGTGAGTCCTGACCACAACTACTCATCTAAGTTAATTTTAAAACTTTTGAAAAAGTTGTCTTCAGGACTAAAGAGTAAGAATCGAATAAGTATTTCCTTAACTATTGAATTAGTATCACTTCTACAGCATCCATACCCTGGAATCAGTGTAATACACAAATCAATGCACCTAAGCTGCTGCCCATGCTCACAGACAATAATGTATTTGCAGTGATGAATCACTAACTTGGAAAGATTTTCTCCCAGTGAAAAGGAGATATACTTGTTTCATTCAGAATTCACAGCTTTCTGAAGACTGCAGCTAAGACAAATAAGATGCCTTTTTTTTTTTTTTTTGGAAATGTGCTTGCTGATATTTTTAAAAATCATGATTCAAAATTAATAATAATAATAATAATTAATAATAATAATGATAATAATAATAATAATAATAATAATAATAATAATAATAATGAAATCTCTGTAGATCTTACTCAAATAAAACCTGGAGAGAAACAGGATTAAGTTCATTCCTATGCCTATCTCAAAAGAAACCTCAAACAACATACAAATTAATCTTATCTAAAATGAATACACTAAAAAATTTGCAAGAAACATTCTCACAAAATTACCAGGTCAAATTTTTTTCTGAAACTAGATAGCTTCTGATGATACAAATAGGCATCCAGTAGTGTGAATGCTTCCGTGAAGCACTGAAGGCACTGAATACATCAAAAGTTTGCAGTTCTATCCGTGAAACACTTGCACCATTAAGCATTTCAGACCTCAAGGAGGCAGGATTCATCCATGTTCTCTTCAGCAGGATAAGAAGAGATTTCCCAGTACTTGGGCTATAGATTTTACATAATCTATTTGTCTAAGCAATTATTAGGAGCACATGCCTAGGAGGAACTATGTGGGTATTAAATGCAATTCCTGTAGATATGCATACTGCGTTTCTAAAATGTCCTTCAGAAAGTACTTGTTAAAAATGGCTAGATTTTAGATTTTCACTAGTCCAGTTGAAAGGTCATCTCAAATCTTCTTCTTTGTTGGTTATGAACCTACTCATTTCCAGACCGATTTGGTTTGAGAAGACTTTATTCTGACATTTTCCTTTAGCTTGAGTAGCTCTGTGTCTTCCTGTTGTTCACCCTGAAATACTTTGAATATACTTGCCTATCTTCTGAGCTAGTTGAGGGTGAGGCAGCTTTGAAGTCAAAGCAGTGAAGCTGCATGAAGCAGCTCTGGGCTGGGGTTAGTAAGCCCTGCCAGGATCCTGGCTTTAGAAGCTCGGCATGTTACAGCACTCCTGTGGCTTTTGGATAGGATCTGGTGTACATCTAGTTCAGCTTGGCTGGAGCAGAGGTAGCTTAGGCCTATCTGTGAAAGACAACTAGAAGTGTGGTACACACATGTAGATATATCAGACACATATGTTTAGATATATTTCTAGCTAAGAAACATACTTCTTGTAAGAAAAGCTCTCCATTCCTCAAACTTTCTAGTAATCCTTCACTCTATCTGTGCCAATTTGTGTTATTCTCTCTTAAATGTATGCCATACATAGTATTAATAACCTTGATAATTGTATTTCAGTGTCATGGGGTCATTACTTTTAGCCATGATGTTGTGTTGCAATATCATTGCATTGTGAAAAATCATGTCACTATTTCAAAAACAGTGATGTGATCATTCAGTGAAGCTCCACCTGTCACTATTAAATATTTTAGAAGTTTTGCTACTGTACTTTTAGAAACAGGCAGAGTTTGTAGAAGTAATTTCTTCTCTAATCTTTAAAATAAATTGTAAATATCCCCCTGAGCATCTTCAAGACAAAAGCTAAAGTTCTGCACATTTGGTCAGAACATCACTGGGAATCTTAAAACTAAAGCTCCAAATTTTATGAAACAATATATTAAAGACTACTATGCTACTAAAAGAAACTGACCAATTATACAGCATCTTTCATATTAGTATTTTAATGCTAACCCTATGAAGACTGCTTTGATTTTAAATATCTATGTGTGTTGGGAAGGGGAAAGGCAGAAAATCTTTTTATTAGTTAGAAATAGTTCTTACAGATAAAATACTGCCAGTTCTTTAGGCACCAATAACTCTTTCTATTTGACACTATTCCACTTTCTTTTAAGTTGATGGGAATTTTGCCATGTTGTTCAGTAGAAACAGAATTGAGCCTTGAAGTCACACATGCACAGAAAGCATAAATATTCTGTGAGGAATCTCAAATGCTGTGACTCTTTGTTAAATCCTCATGGGAGTACAAAAGAAATCTAGAAGAAAATCCTGAAGTATTTTATCCATTAAATCTGACTTTTATCCATTAAACCTGACTAATGTCTCTTCAAACTTGCCTTTAATATGCTATCCCTTGAAACTTAATTTACTGTATATATTTTATACTTTGTTTCTCTGATTTATATGTCTAGACCTTTTAAATAAAATAGAATAACAAATCTTAAAATATTTGCTCATCCTGAAGTTACTTTGCAGCTTATGATATGCAAAGCCGTAAGTAGTGAAGTTCTGATTAAGATTTAAATGTTAATTAGATACAGTGATTTTAAATCTGCCCTTTGGTACTGAAGTATATAAGAAGCTCTTCATGTTTCAGAACACATACAAAGACTATTAAATGCAAAGAAAATCAGATGAGAATTTTTCTTCTTCTCTGAAGACATGCCAAATTACTTGAATCAAAAATATACACTAATCTACAAACTTATTTATTCTAAAATTTACGACACTGGAAAAAAATATTTAAGCAGGTGGCTCCCATTCCAGTTCTCTTGGCAAGGGTTTTTAAAAGTGTATATAGGCACATAAGTCAGAAGAAATAGATCGACTATTCTGATTCATGAGAATGGAAAACAAGTTTTGCTTGGGCAAGCACATTCTGATAAATTTAATTAAGATATATGTTCTTAAATATTCATTGTGATCAGTATTATCAATAATAGGCAATAGAAATGGACAGATCTCTAGCTAAACCAGTCACAGGAAGAAGACAAATCATGGCCGATACTTAGCTAGACTAAGACATTGAAGAGCTGAAAAAAAGGCATTTAAGCATCAGGCTACAACTTTATTAATTAAATTATATGGGGAACCATCCATTCCCCCTTTCTCACATACCAGACGTTTAGTTGGGACCATTTTGCATTTGTTGGGTTCCCGTTCTTGATCTACGAACTTAAGACAGGATCTCTATATTTATCTCCAGGGCTCAGCTGATGTCTGAATGATTCAGACCCATTGAGATTAAAGTGAATGAAGACCAAGTGAAGTCAAGAGGAATATTTGCTCTACGAAAGCTTCAGATTTCCTTTCTCTCCTCAAGCATTAGTTCTCATTTGACATTTAGGCTGCCCCTTTTAGTCTTTGTCTCTTCTGAACACAGTCACAAACTGTGAAAAGTCTTTCCTGTCACATTCTATTTTCCCTTTTAACTCTTACTTTTCAATGACCTGTACCTTCAGAAGAAATGTGGAAAATCTCTCTCATTTTGATTCACTTTGACTCGCTCCTTAACTAATCTTAAAGTGCACAATTGATCAGAAATATAACAGAGTGTGGAGTGCAATATTTTCTGGAAGCTAGATCAAATGCTGAGTGACATAAATCTCTCTCTAACCCATGTGAAGTAGTGAAAACAAAATTTCTACCTTTATATGGGTGTTTCATCTATAAGGGATTCCTGGTTTCCCACCATCCAAAGGCTTGTTACATATTTACAGCCTTCACTATAGGAAGACATGAGAGACATGTCTCGTTAATTCCTAGTTTTCCAGAACAGAAGAAAGGCAAAACCTTCCTTTGCTTCAGTGGTTGCAGGAAAAAAATTATGGGATAATCCCATTATTATAACATGTAGACACCATCATGCTTCTCACAGCTGTGCCTAAAATTGAACGATTCAAAACTGGATCTTGAGCAAAGTGGTTTATGTTGGAATTCAAAAGTAGTTATACTTCACCTGTGGCTGGAAAGACGGGAGCTCTGGATACTTTACACATATTTATGTGTCTTTATCTTATCTCTTGATTATTGTCAGACCAGTTTACAGTTGGACATGTCACATATGCTCAGCTACAGCAGAGCTTTATAGTCCATCACATTATGTCATTTAGCATTTGGTTTGGCACCCATTTAGTATCTCATATTCTCTTATCTCTTCATCTGTTTCAGACAGTACATTATCTTGGTTGTTTCTAAGAAGATTTTCTTTTGAACCTGAAATGTGTATACGGGTATGTCCTATCTCTGCAGCCCCAACTGTAAGCAGTGTCAGTTGTTTAGTGACAGTTTAGTGCTGTGAAATTATGAAAATTATTTGTTCATAATCTGCTATCCCCTATTGCAGGAAATACAACTATGCGTGCCATAGTCACTTGTAGAGACATTGAACATTTCTTAAAATTCCTACTACAGCTTTTAATTTTTTATTTTTAATGATGGCAAGGATCACTACATACAGTGATAAACTGTGGCCTATATTGGACTTTACCTGTTATTTTTTAAAAAGTCTGTACACTGGGATTGGGACCATCTGGGAAAACCCCAATTGTGAAATATTTTATGATTTCATGACAATTCACAGGCCAATTAGGAAAAAAATAGGACCCTGGAAGATGGCAGTGCTGGAATCCCCTGCAAACCACACTGATCAGCTAATTTTCTAGGCTTGCTAAAAAATAGAAAATAGAAAAATAAAAATAAAAAAAATAAAAAATAGAAATAGAAACAATGGTAAGCTAACACAGACTTGCTTATGTGATGAGACAATAGTCCAAAAGGTAAGTAAAAAAAATTGTTTCATGGTTCCCTATAGGGCAAAATTATTCTTTGAGATCAGATTTGTTCTTCTGAATACGTCAATATATGTGGGCCTTGAAATATTACCTTTATATATTGGTAGACTTGAGAGAAAAATAAATAAAAATAAAAACTGGTTAAAAAGAGGACCACCAAGGCTTCTGCACCTGATAACACCTTGAGAAGATGCGATTATGAAAAATATTGTGGCACATCTTGCTGCTCCAGCATGAAATGTGCTTAACAGAGGCCCAGTTGTGCCCTTGGTGAGGTCTTGATGTGCTCTTTGCCCACTGATCTACTATACTGCTGACCTCAAATTTTTCAGGTCTTAGGAACTTATGGTCTGTGCAATGAAATTTTAAGATCACATGGCCAGCTGATAGATTAGCTATACTGAATATTGATTAGCACTACCAATGTGGATGATGTGAGGTGGATTCTAATCCTTTTCTTCCCTAGAGTGGATGAAGAAAGGTGTGTAAAGTCTCGTTTTGTTGAATTGCCCATATACTAGGATCTAAGGTGCTGCTCAGAAGAACAATGCCTCTGAGCACGTATATGCCGTAGTTATAACTGAGCTGGTTAGTGACACTCGTATTTGATGATCTTTGATTTTTATTTTTTTAATTTATTTGCTGAGAATTTCAAGAATGATCCCCCTTTGCTAGCATATTAATATAATTCTTGTCTGGATGTATGGGAGGTATGAATGGTTGGAGAAAATTATAACAGGAATAAAAAGATGAAGACTTACTTGTAGAGGAGTGTGCTTCCTTTCTAGATGCATTACATCTTCAGATTTGCATGTCCTTTTTCAGCTGTGATGAATCCCAATATCTGTAAAGCTTCAGAGCTGTTTATTAAAGATGTTTTCAGCCAAGTGTTTTCTCATCTTTACTATTATTTGTGTAAAAATTATGTAACTGCTTTACTTTACCACCCATAAGGCTCTAATAATCTAAATGGCATTTTGCAACAATCTACTAGTTACACGTATATTGACTTTAATAGGAGGTCAGACCTAAGTGAAACACATTGGAAACTGGCTCTTAATTATTATGACAAGAAGCAAAAATATAAAAACATAGCATTCTGGTATTACATTGCTCCTTTGAAACAAAGCACAGTTTATGACCTCCAGACCAGGTATAAAGCTGAATCAGAGCCATATGAAAATGGACTACATTATTATCACTTACACAGAAATCCTGGGGAAAGGGGAAAAAATAATAGTGCTAATCAAATATGTTCTAAAGACATCTATATATATACACTCATGTATATAAATATATAATATATACACAAATATATTGGCATGTATGTAAATGTTGATCAGGATCTTTCGGAAGCAGGAAGCTGTCTGCTCCTGGGTGTAGACAGAAAAGAGAAGCTGGCCTCCTTTCTTCCCTCAAGCTCTGGCTGGCAGGCAGGGATTGCCACTGCAGAATGAACACCTCAGTAGTAGAAAGGTCATCTGCTGTCTCAGCTGAAGTTTGGCAAAGCTGGCACTGGGGAAGGGAAGATTTGTTTGATTTGTAGATTTGCTTGTTTGTGATTTATGCTTATACATTCATGAAGTTTATTCAATTATCCAAGGAAAGAATCAGTGAATCTCAACAATAGAAGGGAAACTCAGGCTGCCCTGTTGTCTTCTTTTGAGGCTTTGGAACGGTGTAAGTGGAAATATGTATCTCCCTAAAAAACTGTGTGAACCTCTCCCCTCAGTATTTGCCTGGCAAAGAAGAATGTATTTATAGGAGCTTCTTGCACAGCAGACAAGTACTCTAGCAACTCCTTCATAAACCTAACCCTCCACGGCAAGTAAAGAGTCTGCCTGGATGCTGGCTGTGCATGTCTGGCTGCCTTAATAGTCTTCTGGTGCCATACGCTGCATGCAGAAATTGGGATGGCAATAACTGCTGTCTGAGAGCCAAGCAGGCAGCCAAGGTGCAGCAGGGGGAAGGGAAGATTATCAAAGTCACACTTGGCTAAAGCTCAGGATTGAACTCTGCATCTGTAAAAGCTAATGAGTAGAAATCTGAAAGAAAAAAAAAAAAAAAAAAAAAAAAAAAAAAAAAAAAAAAGATGCCACCCAGCCTTCAGAGTGCTATAAATTACATGATTTGCAACAGAGATTTCCTAATATTTTTATGGCAGAAGGGTCCTCAGTAAGATTAAGATCTCACAAAGCTTTGTGCTAAATGTACCTATAGAAAGAAATTGCATCTTCAAGCAGTATGCTGCTAGATAGATGAGACATGCAAAGGCAGCCTTTTATCCTTGTTTAATAGATTAGGAAGTGAGGTGATCACATAGTTTCCATGGGAGTCTTTAAGGGCTTTCAGGGAAAGGAAAGAACCGAAATCAACTGAAACATCTGAATTTAGTTCCTTGACTGTAGGGTCATCTTTCCTTTTCTCTTCTCTACTAGCTTTTTATTACTAAGAGCACAACATTGAAAAGTATCAGTCATTACATTTTGGTGTAAGTACTCCTACAATTGTAATCAGAGCAGTTGCTTGATACAGTGCAGTCCACTTTGGCAAATTTAGTCTGTCCTGCAGGCAGTTTTGTTGTGGTTTATGAAGCTGTGGCATTCATGTGATCATACTGGCAGGAAGGAGAGGGAGGGAGTGAGCCTTCTTGCTGCAGCTGGAACTGAAATCATTTATTCATGGTAACATTTTTAGAGCTGATAAAACCCATTGTCATGCATGCATTGAGAGAAAAGAGGTTTTATAAAATCAGGAAATACTCAGAAAGTATCATTAAATGTTATTTGTGTACAATCCCACAAATTTTGGATAGGTTCCTAACTTTGGGGTTTGGCAATAATAGAGGCATAGTATCTTTCACTCAACTGAATCAAAAAATTCTAATGCTTTTTTTTTTTTTTTTAAAGAGGTGCAATTAGTTAATGTGTTAACTGCAACAAATTCTGTAGTGTCCTTTTCTTTTTTAATAAACTATTTTAGTGTCCCTTAATTACTAAATTAAATACGTTTCCACATTTGATCATTATAGGACTGAGTGTTCCATTTTCATACAAGATGATCCCAAGTTAACTACAAATACAGGTACTGTTAACTTTGTCCAACAAGGTATGACCACCAACTGTTCAACGAAAAAAAAAAAAGAAACAAATAGGACACTTTTTAATCTGTATAAGTCCTTTTTATAAAGTTGACATAATACTTAAATTGCATGAAATTATTTTGTTTTACACATAGCTGAAAACAGTTTAATTCTATTAAAAGTGCAAGAAAATATTTTTGCATATTCTAAAGATGGCAAACAAGCGTCAAGGTTTGAGTGGGCATTATGTCTTCATACTGAAATGGTTTCTTTTGCCCTTATGCTACAAATAAAATACATTCTATAGATGTGCTATAAATGCATCCAAATGTACAGCAGTAGTTTTATGTATGTGAATGAGCCAGGGAATGCATGATTAGCAAGCCATTGTGAGGTGCTGTGAGAATACATACTTGTGAAATGTATACCTCAACATAGTCGCCAAGAAGCCCCAGATGATTATTTTTAAAGAGTTTTCAAATATTTATGGGTCTCTGGAGGACCCATAAAGACAATTCACTTTCCAGAAAGCAGACCAATGTAATCTGAAGGAAAAATCATTTTTTCTGGCCACCCAGCCACACCAACAAGCTAGTTGAGCTATATTGATATTACTTGCATACAGATAAGTCAGGGAATTATTTTCTTGATATGTGAGGCCTCCAATTTTTTAGTGGAATATATCAAAATACAAATTCTGTACTGGAAATTTACATTTGTTTTTCAGTCCTATAGTCACTGAGGTGACACTTTTGTAAACTGTTTCACAGCTTTCCTTGAAGTAGAGATAAACAACTTTAGTTTCTAAGTCTCCTGAGCCCCCTCAGCTTTCTCCAAGTGAAGTAAAATGTCCATATATATCTTTAATATGAGCAAAACCTACTATGAATCAACTGTGTCTATTTCACAGAGAAAACTCGCGTCTGAAAATAGTAAATTACAACCTATACATAATGCTTTTCAGAACTGTTAACATGAGAATACACTTTTGTACTAGTTATGAAAATAACTAGAAAGACCCGTTTTCTTTGGTTTCAAAAGCTGCAAGTAAACACTACATTTCTGTGGCAGTCTGAAAGGAGAACAGTTATTTTATTGTTTGAAATTAAGTAAGTTTATAAGTGCTTAGAGCTGCAAATCTGATAAACAGCTTTCTTGTCCATCATTGGCTATAAAAGGTATATGCACTTGTAGATATGGTTGGAGAAACCTAAACAACATCAAAGTACTTAACTGGCCATCTGCCATTTTTTGACTGGATACTGTGATAATGAATGATATCACTGCAGGTTACTGTCCCATACTGATTTTTTCCATACACCAACAAAAGTATTAAATTCCCTCTTCCAGAGAATTTTTTCCCTTTCTTTCCAATAAATTGTTACAGTATTTTATACATGGATTTAACTCTTCAATGGCATAGTATCAACTTAATTCATTTTAGTTTTGTAAACAAAACAAAAAAAATATTTCTTCCTTTCTCCTGAGAAAATGAGGGAGGGAGGTACTGTTCTACTGCCCAGTTCCAGTGAACTACATCAAAGTAAACTTTCCTGTGTCCAGGTTATGTTCATGCAATAGTCTGCCTTTATAGACTCAGTCATTATTTCATAGCACTGAAATTAAGCACAATGAACATTTTGGTATGACTATTTGGAATGTTCTTATTTTTCTTATTCATATTTCATTCAGATAAAGAAAAAAAATATCAGTAAATTTGAAATTATTGGTGCACAATGCTCCTTTTACGGTGCTTTATAACTGTGCCTTAGCCTCACTTTACAAATGGGGGACTAAGACAAAGAGACAAAGGACCTGTTGATGCTGAGTTGGGCAATGTGAGAAGCCCAAGCTAGTGTTGACCCATGTGGGGTGATCTTCTAGCTTCAGTGTTGTGTGGCACAAACTCATCTGGCCCCCAGTCCAGTCATTGGCACTGTGGCTTGCTGGAATGTGCTGGCAAGCTATTGTGTCCCACAGCTGGCACCAGTGATGCTAACAGAAGCCACTCAGTGGCCTCCAGGACATGGTGTTGACATGTCCTGTGTGATTTGCCAAGAGTTCTGCAAGAAGTCTGTAGGAAAGTCAGCAATTGACTCCAGCCCTCCTTAGCTCCTCTTAAAGTACATTAACAAGACCATCTTTTCCTTCTCTGTATGTTGGGTTTAAGCTTTAGTAAGAGCTTTTATTTGTGCACTGAGATAAATACTGAACGATATCTCTGAATCACAGAAAATGCATGTCATCAATTTTGCTGTCAGATCTCACTTAAGCTGACTTTTATACATCAAAGTTCTACCTGAATTCATTTCTCTGGAAGTTTTTTTCATTGTTTTAGCATATTTATTGTTTTCGCAACCTATCATTTTTGGAAGACTGAAGGGCCATGTGTGGGTGTATGAAAAGTGTTCCTTTACTGAACTCAAGAATAAGCACTAATATCAGCCCTGGTACATAATAGATTCATTCTGCAGTTAGGACAACAGTACAGTTAAAGTAAGAGAGTCAAGTAAATTTTCTAACAGGTAGGAGCCAACACATTACCTCATTTTCAGTCTGATGTCAGATTCACAGTAAACAATTTACCAATTAGTAAATATGATATCTATGTTTACCTTCTGCTAAGATTTGAATTGCACTCTCAACACCTTCCCATCATGAATGCTGATGGGTCTAAACCTTTAGGTCTATTACTTCGGTGGGACTTATTCTGAGCTGTTCCTTTCAATATTGAACGAGTCTAGAGATTCTTCACCAAAATACAGAAGTTTTTACCGAGATAGACCCATTTATCAGAAGGAAATACTCTCCTTGCTTTCACAACAATATCAAAACAATGCATTCAGGTGAAATGAAGGGATTAATCCTTGAAGGGGCAAGGGGAAAGCATAAGCAGCACTGCTGATGCTCACCCAGTGTACAGGATTAAAAAACAACAACAACAGCAATAATAAATTAATTTTTTTAAAGTGAGATAATTTTATATAGTTTGCAATACTTTTACTCAAACACTGCTAAGTATCCATTTCCTCTTAGGAAAAAAGTACAGGAGAAAAATAAAAAAAAATAAAAAAAATAAAAGAGAAAAAATGTTTTTTAAATCTCAATTCAAAATAAGCAAAAGAGGTATCCATTGTTGTCTATGTGCTGACAGCTTACAAGGTTCTTTTCTATCATTTTCATGCTCATAAGATGTCATTTTAGCCAGTTTTATTTAGTATATGTTCTGGAGAATTTTACATGGAATTTAACACTGCAAAGAAAGAAGGACATCTTTTTTTTTAAAAAAGAGGGATGAATGTATTAAAAAATACAAGTCTGTCCTACAGTCTTCTCTAGCCTAAAAGTTTTATATAAAGGTGCAAGTCTACTCGTCTTGGAGAGGAAAGGAAGGAGAAACTTAAGTCCACCAGCTCCTAGCAGTTGCCTTGGTGCCACCATTTTGTGAGTCTTCCAAAAGAAATCAACAAAATGGGTCACTTTCTTTCATTTACCCTCCTAGCACTTTCCTAGTACCACTGGCAGATTTCAACCAAGCATGCAGGTCTGAGAAGGGCCATAAAGGGGAATATCATGAAGACTCCTCAGGAATTGCCTATGTGATCTACACATAGATCAGTAAGCTTGAAAGAAGGTGTTAGCCTCCAAGATATTTTAAAAGAAAAGTTCTAGTCTGTGGTAACATATGAAAACTCTGCGTGTACACAGAGTAAGCTGATGTTTAGCAGCAATGAATGCTAATTTCTTCACAGAAGTAGAAGCAAGGTAAGGAAAAGGAGTCTGCCATGGGGGAAGATGGGTGTCAAGAAGACTATGATATGGTTGTCATTGATAGCAGGGGGCAGAATTTGATGACTGAGGAGATGTCTTCCAATCTCATACTCTTGTGTAAGTGTCAAATGCAAATAGATTTTAGAGAGTGTTAGAGACTATTATATTTGATCTTACCTTGCCTGTCATGTCAGGTCTATCAGAGGTAAGTTGCTCCTGTTCTGTGTATTGCATTGCGCTTCATAAGTCATGTGTCACAAAAGTCTGCTCAGCCTAAGGATTTTGTAGATTCCAGAAATGATAACTAGATTTTGCTGTACTTCCGTTTAGAACCACACTAGTCTTGAACCACCGGAAGCTATACAGGGGAAAAAAAAGGGGTGGGGTGGAAGGATAATTCACTAACAGTGAACAGAAATGTACATCTAAATGTACTTAAAATTTCAGGAACACATCATAGCCATGTTTAAGAATTATTAAAAGAGGAAGCAACTTTGAAATTTTGCCAGATATTTTCCAGCGTGAATGACTCCCTTTTTGTCTCTCACACAGAGCACACTGAGAAGCTGTGCCGCATACTGCAACAATCTCCTATTTCAGCACGAAGAAACTGCCAGAGATAAGGCAAGAGATATGTAATATTATAACCATTTTTTATTCTAGATTAATGAAAGGGAAAAATAGCCCTTTTAGTTGCAACTTGCATGCAGAAAAACATTCATCTTACAGAGCCCACACTGTCTATTGTGTTCACAATATATTAGCAGTTAGCTGATCTATCAGCTGAGATGAATTATTACATTGGCTTACAGTGATATCAGTTTTCATTATTGGGCAGTCATCCAAGTCCTTTCCTATTCTGTTTGCACATCCTTATTTCTTTGCTTTTCCTTTGCCCTTTGGGTAGTCTCAGACCAGAAGGCTGGTAGGCTGAATATGTTATCTTTCAATGTTTGAAAGTCATGAAGAAGAAGCAACTAATCAAGTAAATGGTTCTCCAGGTAATTTGTTATTTTATGCCACACCTTGTTGTCAGAACCATGTCTTATTTTCACAGAAGACCAAACTTCCTTCTCCTTAGACCAAAGCATGTTACAGCTTGGGTAGGCTGGAAGAGAAAGGAGGTTGTTTTATTTTGGTTGTTGTTGGAGTATGGTTTGGTTTGTTGGTTTGGTGTTTGTGCTTTTTTTTTGGGTGGGGGGGGGGGCAGGTGGTGGTAGTGCAGGGGGTTCAATTACTCCATTTTACATGGCAGAGAATATACTGGCTAAATAAAGGAAGAAGTTCTAGAGAGAAATTTGCAAACCTGAGTTGATATATAGTACAGGATTTCAGTATAAAAGAGAATAAAAGTGGAGGGAGGGAGGGAGGAATGGCAGGCCATAATTTTACTAAGTAGTAGAGATGGCTCAGAAAATGTCTGCTGGCCTTTGCCACTGCAAACCTACAAGCACTGCTTTGAACACAGCCTAACCAAATCCATTGGATCCCACAGGGCTCTTGCACCCAAATTTACTTTGACACCTTAGCACCTGTCCGTAGGCTGTCCCCAGGGCTTCTCTTTCTGCCTCCAAAACTATAGGTTTTGGGACAGGAAGGCATGATGGGGAAGGGGCATTCATACATTTAATTAATATTCCTGTTTTAAATTGGCAATACCCATTTGACTGACAGCCGTAGTAGATTCTTCCTCTTGTAGTATAGTCCAAAGTCATGGACAACATTTGTACCCATGCGCAGTAACGCTGCTCTTTTACCAGGACTCTTCTAAGTGTATAGTCCTGAGGCTGCAATTGTCTCTTCATGGCATCTCCATGCAGATTCCCTCAAGGATTCCAGTGTGCCTACAAAGTACAAACATAGAATCTATTGTAGAATCAGGACGTTCTTCAGTATGAGAGAGAGAGGCTGAGTCTTGCCCTATAAAAAGTGTGTTTGTATACATACATACCTTATACACATATATGTACATGTGTGTATTTTGCAAGAGGAACTTTGGCAGGTTTATTCCTTCCTTAAGCAATTTGTTCCTCTACTCCATCCTCCCTGAGTCCCCTTAGAAACTACTTTGGCTCACTGATGGCTTGTATGTTTAAGGCTGTATTTATATTGTATGATTCTGGGTGCAGGGTTTCTTGTACCTTGCCTATGTTTGACGAGGAAGCAGAGGGCACCACTTCAAGCCTAAATAATTACAATAATCATTTCCAGCAGACAGACAATCTCATGTTGGCTGGTTATAGTCTGACTCTTCAGCCAATGTAACTGGAAGCCCTGATACTTCCTCTGAGCCTGGCACAGAGTTAGGATGTTTGGTAGTATTCTAGATGTCAATTTATCAATTTATTCCTTAAAACAGTCTGATTTTGTTGCATGTGAAAATATATACTTATCTATTAAAGGAAATACAAGTAGAATAAAACAGGAAATATTAAAACACAGCATGATGCAGTGAGATATGGTGTTTCTTAAACAGTAGCAGTAATCTTAATAAAATGCAGATACAATCATGTTCAGGGAGCAGTGTGGTAATAAAAAATAAAGAAAGGAGAAAGGTGTATAAAAAAAGGGGGGAGCTCTTGGGTAGAAGAATGTCTTTGAATTTAGCAAAGACATAATGTGGTGCCTGTTACAATTGCACAGCTTTGCTTTCAAAATGTATAGTCGGTGGGTGGGCTCCTTTCATGCCTGGTGGAATTTCACCAAAGTCAGTGGAATTGTACCCATTCTAAACGTAACTCTGCACAAGCAAAATAATCTGTAGATGTCAGTAAAATAGGATGGATAATATATATTTATAAAATAAAATTTAAAAAAAAAAAGATTAATGAGTATTTTCTTCTATATTTTTCAAATTCATGTCCCTTTTGGTCGTGGAAAATAAATATCTAAAAAATGCTTATTCTTACAAGTTTTTTATCTCTCCTGGAAATCTATTTCATTTCTGCCTTATTGCTTAGAGCAAATGCCAGTCTTCCTACTGGGGAGCTGAAATGATACCACATGACACAAGAAACCAATTCCCACACACCATCAGCCTTTTATTCTCTCTTTGTACAGTATCTAGCACAATGAGAAATCTGCTTCATGGCAAAGAGGTTATGTCTGTTTGTTACACAATTAGTAATGATGAGATCAAAATAGGAAAACCTATTCCCAGACAGTGCTTTTCAATAGCTGAAACAAGTGTATGATATTCAATAATACAAAACTTTGTAAGAATAGTTTCATAGCAGTGAGACATGAGCGGAAAAATATTTTGCATAGCAGAAGGAAGAGATGAATTTCTTTATGTGTATGCTGTAGCATTAGTTACTACTAGAAGAAAAAAATGGGGATACCACTCTTGAATCTTGACCTTGTCATCAGTTAAGCTATTCTCAAAATATATATGGGATTTTCTATTCCTTATGTTGATTTTCTGCTCTGGCTTTATGCATATTTTCTTGCTCTTTTGAAATACTTCCTGGTCCACTGGAGTTTTAGTAGCCTGATCACTAGCTAGACTTACTATGGTTAGGCTTCAAGGGTGTCCAAAATGAGACTTTGGTTGTTCTGCTTGTGTCCTTGGCAATCCATTTTGGTTTCCAAACATTTCTAAAGGTCAGTATGCTAGGATTTCATTATATGACTGTGCATCTTCTTCACCTGTTTGTGGAGACAATGATCAGGGATTTGTGAGGTAGTTATGGCATTACAGATATACTTAAATAATATGTAAATAGATAAATAAGAGAAATTCCATCCTAAGGGACCCTGTGACACCTGGGTTGAGAAAGACCTCCTGAAGTTCAACAACAAGAACATAGTTCTGCACCAGTGAAGGAAACTGGTGAGGAAACACTTGGGTGAGTGGTAATTGATGGAAAGGAACTACGTTCATAGCTGATGCTCAGCTGAATACAAGCCAACAGTGTGATCCAGTTGTGGACAAGACAATGTCCTGGGCAACATCAGGAGGGACTGGGCCACCAGATCAGGGAAGGGCAGCACCTGACTCTACTCGGAACTTGTAGGGCTACACCTGGACTGGTGACTGATGTTAGATGTCCAAGTTCAAAAGGGACACCGAGAAACTGGAGAGCATTTAGCAAAGAGCTCTTCAGATGATCGGGACCTAGACCACCTGATAGGGACCTAGACCACCTGATATACAATTGAAGGCTGAAAGGACTACACTTCTTTGATATGACAAAAAGAAAGCTTAAGAGTGATTAACCCCACACACAACTGCCCCGCGCACACAACTGCCTCTCGCTGGTAAGCAGTTGAGCATTATGGGGAATTATACGGCCTTAAGAGCAAAGACTGTCCTGGTAACCTTACAGCTTATTCACCTTATTAACAATCAGACGGTTTATGATCCTGAAATATGGAAACAAATTGAGGTCAAGGGGGGGGGGGGACGGGACTCTGCAACTAAAAACAACAAGGTTGCAGTGGGATTGCTCGGCACCTGGCAATCAATCTCTGAGGCCCTCAAGACCCCTGTGAGACCACAGTCGGAAACGTGTGGTTTGCCAGACAGTGAGGGAGCTGCGGGCTCACTTACTGATCCAGCTGCCATGCCATCGGCCCCTCTGCTGCTACAGCCATCGAAGGCTTTTGCTGTTACACCCCCTGGTGACCTGGATATGCCTTTTGACCCAGGCCTCATTGGCCTTGAAAAGGAGATGGATATGCTTTTCTTCGATCTGGGAAGAACGGGGATACATAAGGCCCGAAGGTTAAGTTGCTTGACAACTTGAAGTGAGACATATTGTTCAAAAGGAATGGAAGATGGAGACTTGTTTGTAATCAAGGAAAGGAATGGAAAATGGAGACTGTTAAGTCATGAAACTTAAAGGATTGTTTATTACCTTTTCTGATTGTACATAAGTATAGATGTACTCGGGTTTAGTATGTAAAAGCAATGTTCTGTGTATTTAGAATGTTTGATGTTTGTGTGTGCATGTTGGTAGAGCATAGACTCCCCGCACACCCAGTGCTGTTTACTTGCCTTTTATACCTTTTATAAATATTCTTTTATAGATATTACTAAATTCAGATTGAGTTGAGACTTCATTTATAACACTGACTTGGGAGATTCAAATCAGACATTAGGAAAGTACTTTTCACTGGGAGGGTGGTAATGCCATGGAATAGGTTACCCCATGACACTGTGAAATATCCATGCTAGGAGATTTACAAGATTCAGCTAGACAAAGCCATGATCCAGTGACCTTATCCAGTGCTGGCAATGGTCCATCATGGAGCAGGAGTTGGGACTAAATGACCTCCAGAGGTTGCTTCCAGCCAA